ACATTTTCCCTATATTCATCAATGTCTATTCAAACAGTTTCCCTGTATTCAACAAAGTGTGTTCAACATTTTCCCTGTATTCATCAATGTATATTCAACAGTTTCCCTGTATTCAACAATGTGTATTCAATAGTTTCCCTGCATTCACAGTACCATACAAGTTCCTTCATACAAAGAAAGTGAATACACAACATAACATCACAGTTCCATTCCACTAAAGTTCAAAAGAAAGTGAATACGCTAACAAAACAACATAGTTCCATTCACACATCAAAGTGAATTCACAGTTCCATTCCAACTCAAGTTCAAAAAAGTGAATACACAACAAAGATAACTTGCTCTAAAAGTGTACATTTACTTTTACTTCTAACTTACTATATATATATATATATATGTTATGTATATACATATTATTACATCTTCATAAGTTGATAAGGCACCAATTACAAGCAACACGAACAACACATTTTTTTTTTGCATCTTTGCGCTCTAAATCGAAGTTCTTCCGTCATAGCCTTTGTTGTTCGGTCATAGATAGAAGTTGTTCGGTCATACATCGAAGTTCTTCGCCGACAATTAGCACTTCTTCTCTTGGAATTACGTGACCTTTACATTTTGAATTCATAGGCAAGCACCATTCAACAAAACAACCATAATCATTGCAAGAGTAGAATAACTTGTTTTTGTTTCGATCGGTCTTAGAAATTCAAATAGTGGCTTTTTTTATTACATCTACAACAATTTTTGTTGACGTATTGTCAATCGATCTAAGCCTACTGCCATTGAAACTTGAACTTGACATCTACAAAAAGGGAGAAACAACAAGTTATAAAGGTTAATAAAATAAAATAAAATATAAACTAAAATGTTCAGATAAAAGAGTGGTAATTGAATTATAGGTGCAACAGTTGTGGAATAGTTGTGGTAATGTCTAACTTTGCTAAACATCCCTAAATAGTATTGAAAAGCTTAAAGAGAAGTGGAAATTCTAACTATGAACCTTCCTGTCTTGTTGGTACAGAAGGATAGAAATAATGAACTGGGAAATATGTTAATATTTTCTTCTTCAGTCAGACCTAAATACCAAAGCCAAAGAATAAAAAAAACAAAGAAATGCCCTATAACACTTTATTTGTTGGTCAACTATCAAGTTATCAACTCCCAAAGTTTGAAAGATATAAAGGTCAACTACCAGACAATTCAGAGGCATTTTACACCCTAAAGTTTCTTATAGACTACAACTCCATATATGAAATGACAGAATTTGAATGAGGAAGACAAACAAAAATGTGTATGTCTACATGGGTGTTAGCAAATTGACCAACTTGCACATCAATGAAGAAGACAGGTTAACAATCTAATGACAACACTATATCCAGCAGTTTAGACAAATTACAAGAATAAAACAAAAACACAATTTTTTAATGAACCATGAGAAATATGGCACAGGCCAATTTGGCTAATTTGAAATTGCTTTGAACTTTGTTTAACATCAACAGTTAGAAAACATTTCATCTAGTGGAATTGCAGCTGAGAGGAAGAAACACTAACGGGCCTTCAAAACCACTCCTGCTCTAAAATTTCCATTTCCTCTAATGCTGATTACAATTCTCCAGAATAGTACAACAAAACAATAAAAAAGTTTCAATAATACACATTACCTGTAGCAAGCTGCAAATGAAAAAAAAAACAACTTTTGCCCCATGTAATTAATTGGCTTTCATAATTTGAGAGCAACTATTTGCCTATGTATAGAAAAACGAACTACAGAATTCATTTAACAATATTCAGTGAGAAAGATAAGCAACCCAGAAGCCAAGACATGTTCATACTTACAACTGAAATGCAGATTGATGTCATTATGTGCTTAAATAAAGCAACCCAGAATTCATAATTTCATTAAGGAATTTTATCGAGCAGATTCATGGCAAGGTAAAATGTGAAAACCCCACATTTAATTATTCTTAAAAGAAAATTAAATAAATAAATAAACTTAATTTTTATCTACAGTCTATCTGAATTGTATATTAGTGTAGTTTAAATTGACCAAATTCAATCACTAACAAAACATTATTAAAGAATAATAATTTTGTGCGTGTTCAATATTTGTTGTTTATAAATTATTTTAATTAGGATTCAATATGATATATTATTCTTACTAAATACCTTAGTTAAAAATCTTAGTGTATCAATTTTCAAAACCCACCACAAATACAAAAAAAAAAAGAAAAGAGAGGGAATCAAACCTTTGCAGAAAATTCGGTGGAGGCTTTCCACACGTTGGTTGCATGCCTGTTTAGGGAAGAAGAGCTAATTATGCTCTTGGAATTTGAGGGAAAGAGAACTTAGAAATGAAGAGAAGAAAGAAAGAAAGAGAAGGGGAGAGAGAGAGAGAGAGATGTGCTCAACAAGCATTGTATACTTATATATGCATGTAAGCTTCATTGTATATAGGTGTGCATGCAAGCATTCGGTGAGAAAAAAAAAAAAAAAAAAGAGTGAAATCCCTGAAGCAACCAAGCTTAGTAATAGAGAGGAAGAACGAGTAGGAGATTAAGGAAGCCAAATTCTCAACCATTTTGTCACCCTATTACTTAAGTAAGAAAACCCCTCAATCCTCTTCATTTTGTTTGATATTTGAAATTTTCAGATTATATACATATGATAAATTGTCTAAACTTTGTAAAGATGGATTTTATTTATAATTGTATAAAAATTCATGATGGTATATTAAATATTGGTAGTCTGAAAATCATGATAATATTGTGGAATTTGGACTTGTATGTGTAGTTTATGCCATTATAAAGATTATTGAAGATGTTATTTACCCTTTAAATCTGCCAGAAAGTTGTACGAATTTTTAGACAATTTTATACTCACATTTTGAAGATGATTTCTTCTAAGAATTTGTGATAATGATGTCTAGTTCATCCACAAAATTTTCAACAATTATTGAGTCTTTTACGATTTTATAAATATTTTAAACCAAATATGGAGCTATAGGCAGATTTGATTATGTGTTTGAAAAATCATTAAAATTTTTATATTAAACAAATCTGATAATTTCTAAGCAAAAAATGAAATTTGAGAATTCTAGTTTCATAATAAATTTTTAGATCATGGAATTGATTTATAAATTTAGGTATGGAATTAATTTAAGAAAATGTGATAAATCTCTGTCATAAACACTCTTGGAATTTTTAAGAATTATTTATAATTTATTTTTGGAAAATGATTTTTGAAAAATGACAATAACATGTTTATTGAGTATTCTGTAGATTTATATGAATTTTAGAGTTGTATAAGTATTTATTTATAATTGTATTTGCAAGATATATATTTTGAAATTTTGACAGGATTAAGGAGGAATCAAAAAACTATCTTCTTCAATTGTTTATTTATAACTTTATTTTTGGGAAATTCTTCTGAAAAATGATCTAAACATATTTTTATTGAATATTCTGTAACATTTTTCACGAATTTTAGAACTGTATAAATAATTTTTATTTATAATTTTTATTACCTAAGATATAACCTGAAAAATTTCTGACAGATTTAAGATCATCACTTCAATTATTTATTTGGATAAAAAAAAATCAATTATTGGTGTTAGTCTAATTCATCAAATATTGTAAATTAGTAATCCATGCATGGGTGTATTTTGGTTTATTATGTTTGTGCTAGTTTAATCTTATAGATTAAAAGTCCATGCATGTGTGTAATTATGATTTATTTCTTTTTTTTTTTTTGGTATTTACTATTATTATTTCATACCATAGTTTAAATAAATTGTTTATTTAAATTTTGTACAATCGTTTATTATTGTGTGACATATGTAATATTTTATGTTGGGATTCTAATGAGTTGGATAACATTATTGGTAATTATATTTTGAATTTTTTGTGAATTATCTCAACAAGTAAAGAAACATGAAATTTAACCAATGATACATTAAAATGTAAAAGTGATGGGATGAGCCCGGTTTTAGAATCTTGCGCAAGTGAGTTGCGAACCCTAACATGGCACGGAAAGGTATTTCGGCTCTTATCGGTATAGGCGATATAAGGTTGGTGGTGCAGGTGTCACAGCATAGGACCGTTCCTTGGGCAGACCGTGATGTCACGGCTCGGGTACGTAACTCTGGTACGTGGGCATTATTGGTAGTTACAGTAAGTAACATTTAAATATTTGACCAAGGGGAGTCAGAATTGCCCGTGGCCATTGCTTAGTGGTTGAAATGGAAATAGTGCTCCGCGGGGAGTTATTAAATTTATCTGATAAACTAAATCTATAAAAAAAAAAAAATTGAAAAAATGTGGACATATTCCTTATGATGAAATACTGTTTCCGTTTGTTATATTTTTATTTGATTTATTATCATTTATTGTTATTATTTCAACTGATAACATTTCTTTATGCTTACTAAATGTTACTGTTATTTTGTTATTACACATTATTCATGAATTGTGAGTGTTATTATCGGAGTGGGCATTTTCGGGTTGTAGTATCTTTATTGAGCTCGTCGCTCACTGGCATTCCCATTGCCTGGCGTTTTGTGCCAGGTACCGAAGAAACCGAAGGAGACACCGAGGCTTGCAAGGCGACACTCAGACTTGGTTAGCTGAAGAGTGCCCAAGTTCCAATGAACCATTTCCTAAAAAA